AACTAAGATGAGATCAAGGAGGACAGGACATTTGAACAAACATTTTGATAGGTTGCAAGATTTCCATTGTGCCACTTCAGGAAATTGAAACAAATGTAAAACGCAACATATTTTATAATATAACCTCAAATACTGCAAGACGGTATCTACAGATGTTCAAGGGGATTGACATGTACTAAATGTTCCACTAAAGGGAACATTGACAAGCTATTTAAAGGGCTGTCACATGTTGAGAACCCGCAGATACATTGTTCCCATTCTTAAAGTCTTCGCACAATTTCTGGCCACACAAACTCTAATGTATAGCCAGCCGTGATGTTTGTCTTTTTATTGCATACCATTTACAAATGAAATTACATTTGTCCATGTCATTGTGTTCTCTCCAAACTTTGCAGCATACATTTCTACTGTAGCAAGTGGTAATCACCGATTCCATTGCAGATTATTAAACAGGAGTTTGATGTTCCTTTCCTTGTTTCACAAATAATGGATGAAATTCTTGCCAGCGATGCTCACGGTCCAAGGTCAGTGCCTCGAAAAAATGAGCACTCCCCCTTGAACCGCTGTAACCCACGCAAAGCTAGTACACCGTTTTTTTTTGGTGGGGGGGGGGGCGGGGGGGGGGGGGCAGTGTTTGCAGGAGTTTGACACTGACAGTTAAAGAGCAGGGATATACTTGCATGTCAGTGTGTGGCTTGGAGAAATCGTAGGTGATAGTGCTCTCATACATTCAATGCCCTTGTCCTGGGTGGTAGAGATTAGAGTTAGGAAGTGCCATCAAATGGAGGCTTAGTGAGTTGCATGTTGGAGATTGCAGTGGAGAGAGTCAATGTCTAAAATGACAGTCAAGATGTCAATCTAATGATCAGTTTTGTCCTCAACTCCACAAAAGTTTTATTATTAATGGAGCTTTGATCCCAGGCAAGTGCAGAATATTCCTTTACATTGTGACATGTACCTTATACGTAATGACAGGCTTTGTGCACTCAGGTAGTACATGACTTGACATAAAACTTCTAACCTTCAATCTCCCCTTGCAACCAATTAATGGCTGGTTCAATTCAGTTCCTGACCAATGGTAGCTCCCAAAATGTTGATTGTGGGAGATTCAGGGATGATAATGCCACTAAATGAGAAAGGGAGATATTAAGATTCTCTCTTACTGAGGATGTCATTGCCTGGCATGGGAGATACTAATGTTACTTTCCATTTTTCAGCCTGAGTTTCAACTTTGGCTTGCTGTATATAGAGTCAGAGTCATAGCTTCATACAGAATGGAAACAGACCCTTCGGTCCAACCAGTCCACGCTGACCATAATCCCAAACTAAACCAGTCCCACCTGCATGCACTTGGCAGATACCCCTCCAAACATTTCTTATTCAAGTATTTATCTAAATGTCTACTAAACATTGCAACTGTACCTGCATCCACAACTTCCTCTGAAAGTTCATTCCACATACCACTCAGTGTAAAAAAAGTTGTTTCCAAGTCTTTTTTAAATCTTCCTCCGGGACTCAGATTGCTTCAGTATTTGAGGACTTGTGCGGGGTACTAAATACTATGCCATCATTAGTGAACATCCCCACTTCTGACCTCACGGAGACATGATCTCTGATGAAACAGCCGAAAGTGGTTCAGCCGAGGACACTACAAAGCATTCTTAGAATGATGGCCTGGGTCTGAGACGGACCTCTTGTGGTGCTCGTGTAGTGTCCCTAACCCTAGATCAAGAGACATGGGTTCAAGTCCCACCTGCTCCAGAAGATTGTAATTACATCTCTGAACAGGTTGATTAGAAAAATAGGTTAGATGATATAGCTTGTGGTGCTGCAGCTCTCTTTCCTTGTTCTAGGTATGACTCCATGAAATAGGAACTGGGGGAATTTCTAACAACTTTGGCTTTCTATCAAATATCACGGTACTTCTACTGATGCATCACGCAGGTCTCAACGTAGCACTGCTGACAACACTAAAACTGCCATCCCGAGCTGGCCTACTCACCCACTTCAGAAGGCAGTTAAGAGTCAACCACACAGGTGTCAGACTAGTCATACAGTGTAAACCACGTTAAGGATGACAGGTTTCCTTCATTAAAAGTTCAGTAAATAGTTGCAATTTTACAATATCCAACAAACTCATGGCCACCTTTACTGCTCTTTGTTTATTTTCAAATTCAATTCAAATTCTCAAACAGGGACTTCAATCCACAAATTCTGGATTATTAGTGGAGGGTCAGTCACTCAGTGGAGAAATTGTAAATTTGCAATTTTAAACTCTTTAAATGCCAAAATATGCCTCAAATAAAAGCAAAATACTGCAGACTCTGGCAGTCTGAAACAAACAGAATACGCTGACGAAACTCAGCAGGTCTGGCAACATCTGTGGAGAGAAAAATAGTTAACACTGCAAGTCCAATATAACTCTTCTGCAGAGCTCTTAAGAAGATTATTTGAGGGATAAACAAGTATTAGCAAGGAAACTAGAAGAACTGCTTTGAAGTTCCTTGCCTATAAAGACAAACTCCCTTGGCATAATGTGCGAACCCACTGGAGAACTGTACAGAGGGCAAACTCATTTTAGCAGGAACCTGATGAATAAGGGGAACATTGACATTAACTGATATTTTCTGATCAACTTGTCCAGAAACGTCATGACACAACTCTGGTGCAGGCAGGGCTTGAACTTGGATCTCCTGGCACTGTATGATGGGACACAATTCTTTGAGAACACCCTAGAGGAATTACAGAAAAGGAACCAGAGAAAGGAACGTCAATGATCTCAAGGCCAAGGACCGATTCCACCTCCTGGAAACACCTGGTAAATGTGCAGTCAAAGATGCAGCTCTAGGATTGGGCTCATCAGCCACACAAGGACTCACAAGCAGTGACAGAATTTATAGGTGGACAATCTTACCCATTAGCAAGCAGTTGCCAGTGATGATCCAGACTATGTCGAAAACCTTGATCAAACGTACCCATGACCTTCTAAATTACAGATAATTTAGTTTGTGTAGTCTCTCCTTATGATTTAACATAAGAACTCGGCACCACAAATAGTAGAGAAAGCTAGGTAAGAGTAAACTACTAAAAAAGTAAGCAATCAAAATTTGCACAACAGTGGCAAAACCAGTAAATAATTTTCTTGAAGACAAGATTATAACCAGTGATAAACCTCTGACAAATCTGTCAAAGAAAAACATCATGTATCTACTTGCATAATTCATTCAACATTTCATTAAGCACTAGCTGCTAAATAAAACAGCACATGAAAACTACCACAGGAAAGTAAAGATTTTTAAAATCACTTGGGAAAACAAGTTGCTCAAACCTTGCACTGCAAAATACTTCAAACATAAAACCTTCATTCTCGGGAACTAATCAACTCAAAAAAGTTACAAAAGGGACATGTTGATCTCATTGCTGTAAATTCAAATAATTTCACTCCTAATCTCAAATCAGTTTTGGTAAATGAAAATACAAATTTTAGAAATAATTTACCATAAAGTAGTTTACGAAGCAATGAGTGTTTATTTGGAGAAATAAATCAGGTAAGTGATAAAAAAACTGTAAACATTTCAATTTCTAAAACCACTTTTTTTTAAAAAAGTGTGCAGTGTTAACCCTCAGTCAGCACTGACACATGCTTGTCAAAACACGCAGATAAAATCAGTGTAAATAAACATTTCAACTTTAAAAAGGGAGCTTTCCAACATGTACCAAATGACGACTGACCAGTCAGAACAAAGACGTGGTTTACAGCATAAGAAGTAGAACAGAAAAATAAACGTGACTTTGCTAATATGATACCAGACACTTAACTAAGCAAATGAAATTAGCTTTCAATGTTTTTTAAACCACTGGCAATTCTACACCAGTTAATATGTGCATATCCTCCTTCTTTGAAGACGGATTTAAAAAAAACATCAACTAGGTTTGTATTGAGCAAGAAGTTGATTTCCCTACCTTTACTGTTTCAACATACTTCCACAATCAGAACCTCCAAACACTGAATTGACAAGTAGACTGCAATTCGATAATGCAGTCATTCATACAGGCAGCGACTGCCAACTGAAATTTCACTCAACTAGTACTAAAACCCTCAAAGACGTCCACATATTTTGAACGTGGTTATCAAAAGCAGAAAAAACAAACTCTCATTTATGTTACTTGTTTCAAGTCGAAAGAACTCAAAATGTCTCAAAGTTCAAGTGCAGTGACTGCGATTACGTAGCAATTCCAGGAATCATCCGGCAACCCAGAAACAGCGGTACAATTCAACCCCTTCTAATCGATACATAATACTGTACGTACACACTTGAAATAAAACAGAAAACCTAAAGGCCACTTGTGAACCTAAGTGTAAACGTCCTAACCAATAGCTTCATGCTGTAGTAACGATTTCAGTCAAAGGAAAGCAGCGAAACGGTGTAACCGAAAACACTATGGAAGTTAACCTCCCTGACGAATTTCCCAAGCAGCTCAACAGAAAACAATTAATATTTATTACATTTAAAAGTTGAAATAACATTTCAACCCTAACAATGCAGAATCATTCGTTTGGGCTTCCTTCGCAATACAGTGTTTTTGAAACATAATCACATTAATCCAAAAGCCCGACTGCTCATTCAAAAGCGGGGGAGAAAAAGAGATTCAGGATCAGCAAACAGAATTTCACCAATACGCCTTCTTGCTGCTAGTACGGACGTCAATGAAAAACGACCAACACAGTGCTATTGCATTTATTTTTTGGAAAAAAAAAGACAGAACGATAGCATTTTATGCCTCATATCCTGGTGTTGTTACATTCATTGTGCGTTTTAAAATGAAAACTCGGTATTTGAATTTGCCTCCAGCAGTCGATGCTTGAAGGTGCTAAATTAAGAAACGCGGCACTTACTAAGTATTAAGAATTAAATTTTTAAACCGCGGCAACATTTTAGACTTGCTGGTGATCGACAAGAGATATAGAAGAGATGGGCATCACTCAGCCTGGAGCTCACCTTGGGCTTGTACAGCCACTTTCGGAATCTGTACATGTTGCCAGCTGCAGTCGCCGGGGGGTCCCAGTCCACGCGCGTGCTCCCCGGGGTGGGGGGAAAGCCCCGTTTATCAACAACCGACCCCCCACCCCCAACAGCTCCCGGCCTCCTCAGACGACAGGATTGCTTCCGCTCCCGGACGACGGCCGCTATCTGCTGTCGCCAACCGTCACGCTGACAGTCGAGTCACGACTTCTTCTGTCTCCTTCCTCTCAGGGAGGAGAAGAGGAATAGGAGGCAGCAGCGCCACGAACCACAACATCAGCTCAACGCTGACATGACAACACCGTCCCAGAGTACAATGCCCGAACCGGATGTGACGCTCAGACAACCGAGTGTCCCACCTTCCCTGAATGATTGACACCTCTATCCACCAAACAGAGGGCGGGCCCGACACAAAACGGAGCAGCCGACCCGTAAACCAAAGCGAGTCAAGGCTGTGCTGGAAAATTTTCTTCCACAGAAACCGAGACAACGGAATACAGTTAATTAGGTTTTTTTTTTTAAATATTTACTCCATTCGTGTAAATTGGACCAATAAGCCCCCCGGTTTTGTCGGCAGCTTGTCAAGCTTAGCTGGTCGGATTTCCCAGCGGACCGACGCCGTTGCCTAGAGACCCCCAAACAGCCGCTCAGGGCATTGCTGCTTCCACCGCGCAATGGCCGATGGGGGCTGTAGTCATTTCACTCGCGGTCCCCGTCCACGGAGGCATGTACGCGCGGCTGATGTACTACAACCCCGATAGCGCCTTGTGAGGAGCACGGGAGAACATTCTCTTCGTAAAGCGAACAAGACCTGTTTGGACTGTTGAAGTAAGCGCAGTGTTTTTATCTTATTGAATCGGATTCGATCAGTCGTTACTATCAGGACCATTCCCATTCGGAGTTAATGTTGAATAGCCATTTCAAAACGTGATTTATTTGACCGGTGAGTATTGACAGTTCACGGCCAAGCTAAACGTTTGAGTTCAGGGCTTAGCGAGGGGGTGAGAGCTTGGGTTACTGAGTTCAGCTTCACGTTCAAGTCAACATCACTTGTGCGATAACGAGGTGTAGAGCTGGAAGAACACAGCAGGCCAAGCAGCATCAGAGGAGCAGGAAAGCTTTCCTGCCTGGCCTGCTGTGTTCATCCAGCTCTACACCTTGTTATCTCAACATCACTTGTGTTGTTGGTTTTGAGTTTTTGGCTAAATGTTCGGGACTTGTCGTTAGGGATATTGGAAGTTTTGATTGAACTCTTTCATGAGATTTGGGTGACTGTCCAGAGGTAGCAAGAACTGCAGATGCTGGAGTCAGAGATAACACAGTGTGGAGCTGGAGGAACACGGCAGGCCAGGCAGCATCAGAGGAGCAGGAAAGTTGACATTTCAGGTCGGGATCCTTCTTCAGAAAATCATGAAACTTCAACTTATTGTCCATCTCTAATTTCCTTGGACAAGAGGGTGGCGAGCTGAACACAGAAAGCGCTGGAGGAATTCAGTATGTCTAGCAGTATCGGTGGAGAGAGAAACAACTCATTTAGTATAAGTATACCCACAATGGTCTGGGGTGGGGGGTTTGGTGTTCCAGCTAAGGTTGAGAATTAATAAAAGGGCTATGGATCACAATAATGACTAGTATTTTCATCACACCTCTTAACGTAATAAAACATCCCAGAGCAAACTTCGGTTGAGGCCGGGTGAGTGATTTCAGCTAGAAGTTTTTAGAGATTTGTGGAATAGGATTATTAACTGTTCAGGTTAGAGTTAGGGTTAGGATCATGGGAATATAAGGGCAAGAATAGGACAATCAGCCTATTAAGCCTGCTCCGCCATTCAGCATGATAATGCTTAATTTTCCACAGTATCCCCATATCCCTCTATGTCATTGATATTTAAAAATCTGCTGGTCTTTAGACATGCAACCATAGAAATTAATAACAGAACGAGGATTTTCAACCCTTTGATCACATTCCACCATTCAATATGAGTCATAAATTTTTTACAGCACAGAAGGAGGCCCTTCAACCCACGGTGTCTGCCCCAGTGACTAAGCATCCATCTATTTGAACGATCTGATCATGGATTCATGGGTGTTATGTTTTTATTTCAAATTCTATATTTCTAGTTGCTCCCAATCATCTTTTATTCCTTTGCATAACAAAATCTATCCACCTCTGCCTTAAACATATTCAAAGACTCTAACCTCCACCACCTCGAATTTCCCCTTACTTTGAAATTAAAGTCCTTGGTTCGAGACACCCCAGCCTGGGGAAACATCCTACCTGCATCCGTCCTGTTATCCCTTTAAGTATTTTGTAGATTTCAATGACCTCAGATTCTTTGAAACTCTGGAGAATACAGGACCCATTTCCCAAATTTCTCTTCATACAGTTTTGTAATAAAGCAATAAGACATAGGAGCAGAAATAGGACATTTATCCCATTGTGTCTGCTTGGCCATTCAGTGTAATCATTGCTGATCTGACAATCCTCAACTCCACTTGACTGCTTTTTCCCCATGACTCTTGATTCCTTTACTGATTAAAAATCTGTGGACCAAAGCCATCCAGGACATCGTTGCACTTTTTCAGTGGTAATAATATCCTCTCTCAGGTAAGGGAACCAAAACTGCACAAAGTACTTCAGGTGCAGTCTCACCAAGATTCTGAAGCAAGACTTGGCTTCCCCAGTACTCAAATCTTCTTGCAAAAAAAGCTGACATCATCAATGTATCTAACACCTGTACCTCTTAGAACACTCTGAGGTGTATTATATTGGGTCTCACATGGGCATAGAATATTGGGTCCCACATAACAGTGTTGAGCTTAGGGTGCTGAAGTTTGGCTTTGGGTAAAGATTGGATTTGGGATAGAAGTTAACTTTTAGATTAGGGTTAGAATGTCTGCGTTCAGAGTTGGTGATTACTGTGAATGGTTAGAAACTTATTGCCAGCATTGTCAGGAAGAGAAAGGGTAATTTATATTCTCCATTTAAATACGTCACTAATTTATAAAACTGGAAATCAAACATTGGCCCATTTTGACCACTCCATAAGAAGTACTTGAATGCTAGTTTAATTTGTTCTACCTGGAAGACCAAATATATCTGTAATGATGAAACTAAAAGTTGCTGCAAAATATGCTGTCAGTCCAATTTCAATTGAAGTTTTGGGCTTGCTGCAGTATTTTCAAGTATTCTTAACATATCTGAATGAAATTCTATACTTGATGGTATTTATGCAAACAAATGTACAAAGTGCAGCTCAGTTCAAATATGTAATCTCCTTGGATGTCCCCAGGTTTATAATTAAACAACATTTGCCTTTCTGCATTCTCAAGTTTAGAAAGGATAAAAGATCGATCAAAGGTAATGTATATAATCAGAATTTCAATTAAAACAAGCAATTGGCAAACCTTTGTACAGTACCCAACTTAACCACTACATATTAATTTGAAACAGCACAGAATAAGTTACAATTAATGAATAAGAGAAAAATTGAGTATAGTTATCCAATGCACAAAGGAGATCATAACACAGTACCAGAAAATGGCAGAAGACTTGAATGAATACTTTGCACCAGTCTTCACGGATGACACAGATTTAGAGAACGCTAACAGCATTCAAAAATGCTAAATAATCAAGGGACTAAAGGAGTGTCGGAAATAATCACAATAACTATATCTAGAGAAAAGTAAACATAGAAAGTAGGAGCAGGAACAGGCCATTCAGCCCTTAAAGTCTGCTCTGACATTCAACATGATCATGGCTGATCCTCTATTTCAATGCCATATTCCTACTTTTTCCTCACACCCCTAAATGCTTTTAAAATTTAAAAATGTATCTATCCCTTTCTTAAATACATTCAGAGCTTGACCTCCACAGCCTTCTGTGGTAGGGAATTCCACAGATTCACTACCCTTTGAGTGAAGACATTTCTCCTTATCTTAGCCCTAAATGGCCCAATCTGTATCCGGAGACTGTGAGCTCTGGTTCAAGACTCCCCAAACCAAGAAGACATTCTTCCTGCATTTAGTTTGTCTAGCCCTATTAGAATTTTATACGTGTCAACCAGATTCTTCCTCATCCTTCTAAACTCTAATTAATACAGGGTCAGTCAAACCAATCTCCCTTCATAGAACAAATGTGCCATCCCTGGTGTCAGCCTTCGTGAACCTCTGTTACTCTCATTCTATGGCGAATATATCCTTTCTTAGGTTGAGAGATCAAAAGTGCACACAATGCTCCAGGTTTAAAATAGAATAGAACAGCCTTTATTGTCACGTACAATTGAATGATTGCAGTAAAAAGTTTGTAATGTCACCTTTCATGCCATCTTAGGTGCAGAGGATCTAGGTACAGGTAATTTTAAGTGTAGTTACAGAGTAAAAAAAAGGTGTTCTTTCAGAGTAAAAAAAAGTAGATTAGCATGGGAACTGTGAAAAAGTCCAGAATGATAAGTACTTAAGTTCAGTCCATGCCGGCCCACCCCAGGGCATGAGGCCATGCTGCCTCCATGTGCTGGCCTCCATCCAGGACTTGCTCCGCCGTCACTCAGTGAATTGGCCAGTTCACTCTGGTCCGACACGGGAATCGGCCCGCACTCACTCTGCTGCAGGACTTGGTCCATTCACTCCGCACCACTGCGGGAATCAACTCTTGCTCACTCTGCCATGAGACTCAGGCCATTCACTCCGGTCTGCCGCAGGAATCGGCCCGCACTCACTCTGCTCCGGAACTCGGCCCACACTCGCTGTGCTGCAGGATTCAGCGCATGGGCGCTCTGCTATGGGACTGGGCTCCACTCCTCGACTCCAGTCTCCAGGTAGGGCAGAAGAGGGTGGGAGGGGAAGAAAAGAAAAGCTACGAAGAGGAGAAAAGAAGAAAGAAAAGGGAAAGGGACTGCCGAGCAGAGGAGCTCCAACTGGAGCATCCTACTCTGTTGCCATCTTGCTCTAGATCTTATGTTTGGCACCCAGGTCCAGTATAACTGCAGTAATACATCCTGACCTTGGAACTCAACTCCTCTTGCAGTGAATGCCAATATAGTTACTTGCAGTACGTACCTTTTGACTTTAATTAACTTGTGTACAAGGACACCCAGATTCCTTTCAACATCCATATGTCCCGATATAGACCATTTAAATAATACTGCTTTCTGATTTTCCTGACTGTTGGGAGGCGATGGCCCATTGGTATTATCGCTGTTAATTCAGAGACCCAGATAATATTATGGGGACCCAGGTTCGAATTCCACCATGGCAGATGGTGCAATAAATATCTGGAATAAAGAATCCAATGATAAC